TTCCGCAATGTTGAACATTGCGGAGCTAGTTCCAGCTCCGGAATCAGTGCCTTTCAATTTCGGAATTACAACTTCCAGAATAAACTAACCAATCTACCACTCACCCAATTCCGTTTCGGAATTACTTACGTATGCTAGAGATAGATATTCAGCTATACCAGTATACGTGAGAGTGAAGGCGAGAAGTAATTCAGGAACAGAGTTCCTGGAATTAAGTCGAAGCTGAATTCCTCGGAATAACCCTGAACTCCTCCTAATTCCGACACTGGAACTATTTTCGGGGATTTTGAAATTAGGCGGAATTCCATTCCGGAATTACTTATTCTAGCGATTAGTTTTGAGCTACACCACCACAGATGACGGTGAATGCCAGATGTAATTCAGAAACGGAATTCTGTCTAATTCTGGAATTCTCAGAATTGGTTCGAATTCCAGAATTCCTAGAAATTCCGAGTAGTTTCGCCTCGACTCGATTCCCAAAGTTCCGTTGTGAAATCACTTATTTATCTCAGAGATAAATATTCAGCTACACCACTATACGCTAGGGGTGAGGGCGATAAGTAATTCCGTTTGGATCCAATTCTCGCAATTCCGTGCCGGAAGTGGGTCAATACTGGATGATCACTCTAGAAAAATAGGTATTCTGTGATACCGGTCGAAATAAGTTTCCGGGGTTCGGAAACCCAAAAAAAAGTGTTTTGGAGCTTTAAAACAGGCTTTTGAGCAACTTGCAATCCGTTAGAGAGCTTCAGATAGTAACAAAACTGGAAACCATAAAAGGTTTTCGAAGCTCGAAAACGGTTGAAAGGGTATCCGAGCTTCGAAAATCTTTTCTGGTTTCCGATTGTGTTACTATCTGAAGTTCTCTAACGGATTGCAAGGTGCTCAAAAACCATTTTTAAAGCCCCAAAACCCTTTTTTGAGTTTCTGAACCCTGGAAACTTATTTTGGCTGGTATCCCAGAATACTTATTTTTTAAGAGTGATAGACAGATATATGTGTACGGTAGATGTTCTAACTCTGAAATTAGAAGGAATTCCGTTTCGACGCAATTCCGACATTGAACGCAACTACTTCTGTAATGTTCAATATTGCGGAATAGGCTGTATTCCCACTCCAAATTCAAACTTGTTACAACACGTCCCCGGTATAAGTCTATGTGTGTTGTGCCTGTGTATGTGGGTGTTATTACGATCTGACACCCACCCACATCCACATCCTCTTTTAATGCATTTTATCTTGTAACAGAAATTCGAATTTTTGCGTTTTAATACTTGTTATTATATTGACTTTAACATCATTATAATGAATGAAAACACAATCGTTTAAATATGTTAGGTAAATAACTGCATTACAACGCAAAAATTCAGTCATTTTTCATACATTTCAACAAGTTTCAAAGTTAAATTCAATAAAACCCCTAGAGATATCATCGGATAATATCGTAAATCTTCCATCGCTTAAGTTACAATTCCAATAGGTTTCAAAGATAGAGCATGAAATTCTGCACACTTTTTGTGTATTCTTTTTGTTAAGAGCAAAGTAGAGTTTTTGAGGATTAAATACTGTTTAGAATATCTATCATTTGTGAGTGTTTTGAATAAGAGCTTTGAAAACTATATTTGTTTCTTTTTTTTATACCTAATATGAAAGCTAGAATACCGGTTATTGAGAGGTTAATACTCCACATCTATATCGTAATTTTCACATTAAGCATAAAAAAGAAAAAATTATAGTTTTCAAAGTTCTTATTCAAAACACTCAGAAATGATAGATACTCTAATAGTATTTTATCTTTAAAAATTCTTTTGCACTCAACAAAATTAAAAAAATACATAAAATGTACAGAATTTCATGCCCTATCTGTATAACTTACTGGAATCATAACCTAATAAAGCTCTCACCGCTCAATCACCAAATTTGAGATATAAACTGCCCTTGATATGCTTGAACTGAAAATGGGATAATCAGTTTTTATTATGTTTAGTCCATCTTCGACACTCACAAGGATCTGAGTGTGGGCAAGGAGAAGAATAACACTTCACCTATAATCGCACATCTACATCCACAAATTTTAGAGTATTGTGATGAATACTATTGCTTTCATTGCACAATTCAATGTGACTTTCAATGAAAATGCTGATCACTTTCTAGCTTAAAACTGAGTACAAATTACTACTCTCTTGAAAGTTCAGTATTTTGAACAAAGTAAAAGAATCGTCACTCTGTAATGATTATGAAAGGAATTAAGCTAAGTAGAAATGCTAGTTGCAATGTACAAGATTTTAAGAAAAAGTTCAGCACAATCTCTTCCGCATTAACATATAAACCATGATAGAGCCGTTTTAATTGTATGTAAACTCTGGCCATATTTATTACAGTTAAAGACAATGTCAATAGAGTCGCATGTCAAGATATCCATCACGATCTGTAGGATTCATGTCTCTCGATGTATACTTGAACACTCATCGGCAATAATATTTCACAAAAATGATACATTAATGAGTTTTCTTAATTTGCTCTTTGCTGCTTTGCATCATAGACCGTAGTTTACGCAAAATTAATATTGTCCAATAGATATTGAGTATTCGTGTTAAGAAAAACATAAAAGCTTGTACTAAAATAATAACAACACTTGTTGTGTCATGAACACTTGAAGCCATCGGAATGAATTTTGGTATAGCTTTAAATGAATACCAGAAAATGATTGTTCCATAAATAAGACGACATAAAATGAATGTGATTGCAAATAATTGAGTCAAAAAAGCATGCAAACGAACTCGTTGAGAAAAGATTATCTTGAGATTGAGTGGAATAGTCGAGAGTTCTTCAGCCAAAAGAAGAAATTGACATGAATGACCTACGCGTGTATACAGTCCTATAAAAGATACTGTTGTAGACAAAATAAAGAGTCGAATGTTCTTTTGTTTCACTTCAAATTATGAATATATTGAGCTCTTAATTTATGGAAAATCAACTAGTCACAGACCTATCAAAATTACTAATTCATCACAGGAGTTATTATTCATTGACGAAGATATTCCCACAGCTTGTACGGAAAGTGATCTCTCACCGATAAAAGGATCATTTCAAGTAAATAGAGTTCGTACAGAGACACAATGAATAAATTTTTCTTTCTCACATACCATCTACAGGCGGATGCTTATTTGTACAAAATGTCCAAGAAGTTATCTACTAAAAGTGAAATTGTAGATGTCCACCATATTTTAATCAATTGAATTGGTTTTTTTTCTTGAAGAGATAGCGAAGTTCATGTTTTAGTGCTTATGAAAAAGTTGGCAAATATCCTTTAATCTTATCAATTTTAAATAAAATGTACAAATCTAGTTTTTCTTACGATTTTTCCAAAATAATTACAAGGTAGGATCCAGGATGACTAAAAGCTTTTGAATCTATATTTCGCCTAGTAATATGGAAGCAGTAGAACTAAAACAATTGTCAAGCGATTGATGTACTTGTTTAGTTTTGACAGAAATATTAGGCTTTTAGTGAACAATTCCTGGACGAGTCTATGAAGAGCATGTAAACTTCGGAGCATTGTAATCTAGAGTAATGTGGGAAATCTGGTAAAATAATAAGAAATGGAGAAAAATTCTGACTTATGAAAAAAGCTCCGAAACAAATCTTGTGGAATTTGTGAATGCGTAAAAGCCTGAGTCCAGTAATGACCAAAATAAACTGTACATCGAATTTTTCAATTATTTCTTCATACTCGTCCAAAACTTCAATCAGAAACGTATGAGAAAATGGCGAATCCGTCTCATGTACGTCTTGTAAGTGAAATCTAGATCTTGTTTTTGAGCTTATCTTAACCATTCTTCAAGCTCAATTCTCATTCTTACGTCATGCATAATAGTGAACAGATTGGATGATGCCCCTATGTTTCATGATTAGTTGCTACGCTATTCTCTTTAAGAGATGAATGCATTTTCAGGAAATTCCTGAGTGGGTCACATAATCTTAAATTTTCCTATAAACCGTCTAGACACAGATAATCGACTATCCTAAGTTTGATGGTGATGCCTAGGTCTTTTACTATAATATGAATTTGAGACCAAATCAGAAAAGGATAAAGAAATAATCGAACAAATTGGACATAGAGTTTAGTTTCAACAGGAGAAAATATCTCATTCCGATTAGCTTTTATACAAAATATCAGCATTTATAGATAGTCTATTTGAAATATAATTTTTTCCAACTATCTTCAGGAGAAAAATCAACTCGTTAGGTTAAAACATGGTGAAAATATACAAAAGAGCGATTGATCAGAGTTATTCAAGAATTTTAATAACTTTAGGAACTCAGAATTTGTTAAAGGACAGTTGTTGAAATTTTATCGATAATTGGACTTCAAATACATGAAATCTTTTTGATATAGTGTCTTAATTCTATGTGTTGGACCCAAATCTGTATTTTTGATTCTATTCTTGACTGAATACAATCATTTTTCTACCTATTTTGTTCGTGTTCAGTTCTGCACTTTTTTATTCATTCTTTGCAAGTTTCAGTAGTTTCATGAACTATAATTTTCGACTAACATATGTAAGTTCGAACGAATATGAGCAAGATGAGTTCTACTGGTATATGCGCAATAGTTCACATTTAATGCAAATTCTCGATTAGGTTTCGAAGAGTTCAACACTTTTCACACATTCTGTTTATGTCTATTGCAAAACTTTCTTAAAGAACAACAAAACAATGTTTGAATATATATTTCTATTGAGTAAATGACTTATATTTTATATTGAATGCATATAAATACTAGCGATAGGAAAAGAATGCTTTTTCTTGATGACATACTATATTCTATATAGGAAATATTCTTATGCATTTATGCTAGATATTTAACGTTTTTCTTTACAAACCTTTCAGGAAAATCGAAAGGAATTACACTGTGAAAATGTGATAGACCTGTTTTAATCTTAAACTACTCATTAATAGTACTGTTAGACGAAATAGGATCGACGTCATTTGTATTATTAACCTGATGTCGTTCCAGCTGTAAGAAGTACATGATGAATTAATGCTGATGAACTTCGAACCGATTTGAATAGTAGCATAATGATAATATTATAAATAAAATAGCCAGCTGAATAACATACACTATAAGTGATCATTTCATCGTTCGTACCTTTGATACCACCACCAAGTATTCGATTGATTTGTGTCAAATTAACTGGTGAACGTAGATAAAATATACATACAGCAAGAACAGATGCACAGGCATGAATAGTCGATACAATATAACTTTTGATTAATGGTGTAATAGACGATGGAAGAATAAAAAATATAAAGCTGTTAAAAGCGACGGAGAAAAAAATCAATAACGATATGGGAACATCCGATGAAGGATTCGTTCCAAGATCTATATATGAATATGCAGGTATACACTACTGCCAATAGACAATGGTATAAAATACTTACATTGAGCACGAACATCGTCGTCAAGCAACATTGATGATTAAAGAAGCTGTTCGTTTGTTTGTCGTACTACACGTGACAATGTTTCTTGTGTATTGGAGAGGATCTATTACGATTATAACAGATAAGAACAAACAGAACTGAGAAAAAAAAGAGATGATACTTCATTTTGTATGCAAAACGAGCTAAATAGTTCGACAATGGCAAATCATTTTAATAAAATCTACATTCTTCTCTGTAATGCTGAAAATATTCATCACTGAGACTACAAAGTTATATATAAATGATGTGAATCATCTTGATATTAGATCATTAGTTTTAACACTACGGATCAAACAATATTATCTTTCTACTTTCATATCCTTAACGTCCAAATCAGAATACACTGAAGAAAAATTAAGTCGAGAATAGATTATTGTCGAACAAAGTTCGAAATCACTAACTACCACTAGATATGAAAGGAACTGCGCATATTTATATCACTGTTCAAATCTTTATCATTATTATCACAAAGTTTTTGCTTAGTTGTTTGCATGCAAATTGATGATCGAGATGTAATGGTGGAAACAAAGTATCCATGAAAAAAACTCATGCAATAGATGTCGTTCGTCGGCAACCAGTCATACACTTCCAAATTTTGAGTTGCAGTGTAAAACACTAGAGGTAGCTATAGTAAATCAATAATATTGTCTAGACGTTTGTCTTTTTTTCTTTTATAATTATTCTACTTTTCATCAGTCGTGTAAAGCAGATATTGCTATCATTGTCGAGAAGAGTTAACTTTATTGAACGGTTGTAGTTTTCGTTGCTTTCTACGTCCATAATGACAAGAGTCTTGGATCTTCATGGTTCTCTTCAAATATGGCTTCATTGAAGCACACTACAATAATGATAAGAAATTGCAGAGACTGATTTTATTATTTCAAACGACTTCTCAGATTTCAAAATCGATCAAATAAAGTGAAAATTGAAAACAACATAAGTCTACCAAAACTACATGCCATCTCATTGTTGTGCAGATATTTATATCATTTCGAATCATTTAGATTCAAGTTTGTTCCTACAACAACTCATCGTACAGTTCTCTACAAAATGAAATATTCAAATTGACAATTACAATCTTCTTTAATTTTTTGATGTAACATGACTTTCTTCAATCATAACCAAACATTTTTAAAAAGAAACTTCTATTTCGATCTTGTGTATGCAGTTTTATGATTCTAACATCATTGTTGGACTGCCATGAAATCATTCAGAGTTCTTATTTTGAGTAAATTTTCTAGAAACAATAATGTTTTTATACGATAATTGCGATTGTTAATTGTAAACGTATCACAATAGAACCTTTGATAACATGAATATCGACAGACGTTTGAGATTGATTTTTCACATAAAGGATTAAAGAAAAACATTAAACTTTTGTCAGCTTTCGTAATGGCGTTGGTGTTTATTTTAGGTAGAACGTCAATAAAAGATAGCAGTACTGAATATCCATTTGTACTTAAACGCTGATCGATCTTCCACCAATATCATATATTAATATCTTTTTTACATGTTGTTTATCATCAACTTCTTCATTAATGTGAAAATAGTTGATCAACACAACTTCCTCAGTTTTTATTTATTAATTAAATTGTTGGATCGTTTAGATGACGTATGTTACCAAATCGTCATCCTCAACTTTCACATGATTTCTTACGATATTCAATTTTGCACTGTGTGAGAGTAAATTGCAGTAACTCGGTGCATATTTGTGTTCTAAAGTAAAATTCAGCTACACACTTCTACTACGTCGTCATCATTTTCAAATATCGAATAATGATCTATTGAAATGAAATAGATCAAATGAAGGAAAGTTTATGAATACTCTTTCAATGTCTAAATTTATTTCAATCGTTAAGTGTGATTGAAAAACGAGAACTATCTATACGAATATGTCTGTTTTTTATATTGATTTTGAGCATCGTTTTATGGACCACTCAGAATGTTATTTAGTGGAAATGACGCAACAATTTTTTCCACGTACTTGATACAGTTACTAATTATGTATTATATAAATCTGCCATAAAATAATTATTCTTCAAGAGCTTAAAGCATGTTTTCATCAAAAAACTGTTACCATCTTTTGAATGCTTGTAGACAAAAAAAAATAAGGGTCTCAATTAGACCTCATTTTGTAGTTTTCATACGATATTTAACTTCATGTGAGAGTTACGTAAAATGTAAAGTTTTAAGACTTTTAAGGAAAAGTTTACTGGTTGGTTATAATAGAGCACATCTATACGTATATGAGAAACATCGTTACATAAAATATGTGCTTTAATAGTTTATGACAGAGAACTCTTGATGGCAAACTATAAAAAAAAATAGTAAGCGGACGATGCATACAACTCAGAACAAGTAGATTTTTGCATATGAGAAGTACAAATTAAAACAAGATAATATAAGGATTGATTCCATCGTTGCAGCGTTTTCGATAGTACTGACCGTTTATGATCTGATTGACCAACGAAAGTCACAAATAACATTCAACCTCAATTAACAGTTCTAGCTAGGGTGTGAGAGTGTGGGTATAGTTGTAGTGTAAAAGTGGGTAGGATATGTGGATGTGATTTTGATTCTACACAAGACTCACACATCTACACCGACACCCTTTCGAGACATACTGATATTTTAACAAACTGAATCATGTCGAAATAAGACTGCGTGTTATGTCTACTTTTTCTTAAGAGCAAACATAGGTTCATTTTTAGTAGAACATAATCCTTTTTTTTTTCGTTTTTATTTTTTCTTGAACTGATTGGATCATCGCATATACATATATATATCAAAAGAAAAAGAGATTAAAAGAACAAAAAAAAAGGAAGAGAGAAAGGTAGCACGAAAGAAAACATGAATCATGACAGAAATATATAGACTTCATATCATAATACTGCGTAATAAAATTTTTTCTGCTATGACGATTTGCTAACCAAATATATTTGACTCAAACGAAAAAGAAAATGTGCTTTTCAGCTGTACTTCTGAATAATAAAAAAAAAAAGACTTTATGCGTTGGAATTTTCCAATGAAAACAGAAATGCATAAATATACGACACACACTATCCTGCCGTCGTTTTTTTTACAGAATAGAAAGACTTACATCGTGAGTAATATGCATCTGAAACAAGCGTTTTTTTCTTCATGAGACCATTTGACAATGCGCTCTTAGTCTAAATATAAATTTTGCTTCTTTATAATAATATTAGATTGATATTGATAGATAGTTTGATTTTAAAAATATCGCCATGAAAGTTTTTGTCGAAGTCAGCATTCAGAATGTTTTTTTTCACGTTCTTTATGTTGACTATAGCCGTTTTCGTTTAACTTGCCTCCCTCCATCAAGAAGAAAAACAGAACATAACATATTTTAAATAATTGTAACATTCGTGACATTCAGCTTAATCTTTTCTTTTTCCACAATTTTACATAAGAGTTGGAAAATAAATAACAACAAAGTTTATTTAGAAAGTGCTTTTTAAAGTTGTCGATTTGTCTATAAACAGAATCGACGCAATTTTTTTTTTCATGATTTTTCCTCCTTTAAAAGAACTGTTTCTTTTATTTTAAAAACTATTATTAAGTTATTCGAATCTTTTAGATTGAGAAACAAATGAATGACGCTAGATTAAACAAAGAAGCATACATCCAAGTATCTCGACTAAAATCATTGAATGCAACTAGCTCAGATCCCAAGTTTGTACTTGAGAAATCACAATTTGAGGAGCAAGATAATGAAACAGAAGCAACTGCTTCATCGATTCAACCAGA